TATAAGATAGGGGGTTTGGGCTGCTTCGAACCAGATGTTCTATTGAATTTCAAGGCCCTTTTAGCAGAGACTTGAACTTGGGCCAGCCTGAAGATTGTATTTCTGAAAACTACGATCCATAAGCTTTCTGGCCATGCCTCATTCGTGCATCACTAGGCCGGACGTGCCGATGTGGAGACAAAAAGCAGTTTTCCCAGCTGTGTAATCGAAAAAGCGGACGATAAAACTAGTATTATATAAGTGAGGGTTAGGTTTGGGCTGTTTCGAATCTGATGTTCTATTGAATTTCAAGGTCCCTGTAGCGGAAATGTGTATTTACGCCGGTCTAAACATTGTATTTTTAGAATCTACGGTCCATAAGCTTTCTATCGATGCCTTACTCGTGTATCAAAAGACAGTCCATGCAGAAACAAAGCAGGTTATTCCAGGTGCATAATCGAAAAAGACGTGAAAGTTAATATTATGCGGTTTCGAACTCCAGGTGATCTTGATACGCGGAAAAGTACTGGCACTAGTTGTCAAATAGAAATCCATTTTATGATTAAAACAACTGAATATCTCCTGTAATATACTTTATTTCGATTCCATATTTTTGTCAGAGCTATAGTTCTCATAACCAAACATAATTACAAAATTTCAACTAGTTTCACAAAGAATAACAAAAGATACAATTGACTGAATACATCAAAATGGATTTCTATTCGGACAACCCTTTCTGAGCGCTGATTGGCTAAAATACGAACACGAGATCACCTGGCTATCAAGAGGCAGATCATGAAGAAACAAAGCAGATTATTCCAGGTGCATAATCGAAAAGGACGTGAAAGTTAATATTATGAGGTCTCGAACATGATGTTCTATTGACTTTCAAGGCCCTTGTGGCAGAGACTTGAATTTGGGCCAGCCTTAAAATTGTATTTCTGAGATCTACGGTCCATAAGCTTTATGGCGACGCCTCATTCGTGTATCACTAGGCCGGATGTTGAACACAAGATGATATTGGAAAACGTGCAACGCACGGCTACAAATTTATATTAAATTATCCCGACGATCTCAATTACAAACACCATCTCCTTAAGTTGTCCTTGTTACCTTTGGAGTATAGAAGAGATTCGAATGACACCATTCTTTTATTCAAACACAGACTAGACTTAATAGTTCTAGATTATCCTTCCCTACAACAGTACTCTGCCCAAGATTGTGTAATTACCCGTAACTTTTCCTCCCTGAATTACAAGACAGAGCGAGCAACTCAAAATTACCTAAAATACTCCTATTTCCACCGAGTCGTTTCCACCTGGAACACACTACCACTAGATATCAAAAGTTCAACAAACTTGGTAACTTTAAAAAAGCTATCTCAGATCACTATTATTACTGTAATATACTCCACTAATTTAATATCCCTGTAGCGGAAACGTGAATTTACGTCGGTCTGAAAATGCCATATTTAGAAACTACGGTCCATAAGCTTTCTATCGTTGCCTTACTCGTGTATTAAAAAAAAGTTCATGAAGAGACATAGCAGGTTATTCCAGGTGCATAATCGAAAAGACGTGATAGTTAACATTATGCGGTTTCGAACCTTGCGTTGTATTGATTTTCAACGCCTCTGCAGCAGAAATTGGAATTTGTCACGGTCTAAAAATTGTATTTTTAGAATCTACGGTCCATAAGCTAACTATCGATGCCTTACTTATGTATCAAAACACAGTTCATGAAGAAACAAAAGCAGGTTATTCCAGGTGCATAATCGAAAAAGACGTGAAAGTTTAATATTATTCGGTTTCGAACCTGACGCTCTATTGGATTTCAAGGCCATTATAGCAGAGACTCGAATTTGAGCTACCCAGAAAATTGTATTTCTGAAATCGTCGATCCATAAGCTTTCTGTCGATGCCTCATTCGTGCATCACTAGGCCGGAAGTGGAGATAAAAAGCAGTTTTTTCCAGCTGTGTAATCGAAAAGACGATAAAGTTAGTATTATATAAGTGAGGGTTAGGGTTTGGGCTGTTTCGAATCTGATATTCTATTGAATTTCAAGGTCCCTGTAGCGGAAACGTGAATTTGCCACGGTCTGGTAATTGTATTTTCAGGATCTACGGTCCATAAGCTTTCTATCGATGCCTTACTCGTGTATCAAAAAACAGTTTATGAAGAAACAAAGCAGGTAATTATTCCAGGTGCATAATCGAAAAGACGTGATAGTTAACATTATGCGGTTTCGAACCTTGCGTTGTATTGATTTCAACGCCTCTGCAGCAGAAATTCGGGAATTTGTCACGGTCTCAAAATTGTATTTTTAGAATCTCCGGTCCATAAGCTAACTATCAACCCATTACTTATGTATCAAAACACAGTTCATGAAGAAACACAGCAGGTTATTCCAGGTGCATAATCGAAAAAGACGTGAAAGTTTAATATTATTCGGTTTCGAACCTGACGCTCTATTCGCTTTCAGGGCCATGATAGCAGAGACTCGAATTTGGGCTACCCTGAAAATTGTATTTCTGAAATCTACGATCCATAAGCTTTCTGTCGATGCCTCACTCATGCATCACTAAGCCGGAAGTGGAGATAAAAAGCAGTTTTTTCCAGCTGTGTAATCGAAAAGACGATAAAGTTAGTATTATATAAGTGAGGGTTAGGGTTTGGGCTGTTTCGAATCTGATGTTCTATTGAATTTCAAGGTCCCTGTAGCGGAAACGTGAATTTGACACGGTCTGAAAATTGTATTGTTACTACGGTCCATAAGCTTTCTATCGATTCCTTAATCGTGTATCAAAAAACAGTTTATGAAGAAACAAAGCAGGTTATTCCAGGTGCATAATCGAAAAGACGTGATAGTTAACATTATGCGGTTTCGAACCTTGCGTTGTACTGATTTTCAACGCCTCTGCAGCAGAAATTGGAATTTGTCACGGTCTGAAAATTGTATTTTTAGAATCTACGGTCCATAAGCTAACTATCGATGCCTTACTTATGTATCAAACGACAGTTCATGAAGAAACAAAGCAGGTTATTCCAGACGCATAATCGAAAAAGACGTGAAAGTTTAATATTATTCGGTTGCGAACCTGATGCTCTATTGGTTTTCAAGGCCATTGTTGCAGAGACTGGAATTTGGGCTAGCCTGAAAATTGTATTTCTGAAATCTACGATCCATAAGCTTTCTGTCAATGCCTCATTCGTGCATCACTAGGCCGGAAGTGGAGATAAAAAGCAGTTTTTTCCAGCTGTGTAATCGAAAAGACGATAAAGTTAGAATAATATAAGTGAGGGTTAGTGTTTGGGCTGTTTCGAATCCGATGTTCAATTGAATTTCAAGGTCCCTCTAGCGGAAACGTGAATTTATCACGGTCTGAAAATTGTATTTTTAGGATCTACGGTCCATAAGCTTTCTATCGATGCCTTACTCGTGTATCAAAAAACAGTTCATGAAGAAACAAAGCAGGTTATTCCTGGTGCATAATCGAAAAGACGTGATAGTTAACATTATGCCGATTCAAACCTTGCGTTGTATTGATTTTCAACGCCTCTGCAGCAGAAATTGGAATTTGTTACGGTCTGAAAATTGTATTTCTAAAATCCACGGTCCATAAGCTAACTATCGATGCCTTACTTATGTATCAAAAGACAGTTCATGAAGAAACAAAGCAGGTTATTCCAGACGCATAATCGAAAAAGACGTGAAAGTTTAATATTATTCCGTTGCGAACCTGATGCTCTATTGGATTTCAAGGCCATTGTTGCAGAGACTTGAATTTGGGCTAGCCTGAAAATTGTATTTCTGAAATCTACGATCCATAAGTTTTCTGTCAATGCCTCATTCGTGCATCATTAGGCCGGAAGTGGAGATAAAAAGCAGTTTTTTCCAGCTGTGTAATCGAAAAGACGATAAAGTTAGTATTATATAAGTGAGGGTTAGGGTTTGGGCTGTTTCGAATCTAATGTTCTATTGAATTTCAATGTCCCTGTAGCGGAAACGTGAATTTGCCACGGTCTGAAAATTGTAGTTTCAGGATCTACGGTCCATAAGCTTTCTATCGATGCCTTACTCGTGTATCAAAAAACAGTTTATGAAGAAACAAAGCAGGTTATTCCAGGTGCATAATCGAAAAGACGTGATAGTTAACATTATGTTCTGTAATCACAGTGCAATTTTCTGTAATCACAGTGCAATTTTTTGTAATCACAGTGCAATTTTCTGTAATCACAGTGCAAAAATCTGTAACAAACTGATCTGATTGGTGGAAAAACATTGTGATGATTAAATCAACCAATTATTGTAAAGCAATTTAATTTAAAGAAGTAACGGTCACAGATTGCTTCAAAACAAAACAAACATGGCGCCGCGCTACACAAAGTAAAAGTTGCCTTCGCGTGGAAAATATGGCTTTTATCTTCATTTTTAAATGGAAAAGCATTTACCTTAAACAAGACTAACAAAAAATACACACAGTTGAGTGGAATTTTCAAGCTGTTAGCGTTGTATAATGTGATAAAACAAAGCCAGGAAAACTTTGCCAGTGGAATGTTCGCTATAAACGCGTATGTTAAAACTACAATTGTCTCGAACATTTTTATGTAAATTATTAATAAGTAATAGCATGGTTTCTCGGGAAATTTGGATAAACATGCACTCGTGAGTTTTTCAAAGACCTCAAATAGCACTCGTCCTTCGGACTCGTGCTATTTTGAGGTCTTTGAAAAACTCAATCGTGCATGTTATATCCAAATTGCACTCGAAACCATGCTATTACCTATACTAATAATATACATAGAGATATTACTCGACTGTGATTGGTTGAGTTCAGTGCATGCAGTTAATCCCAAACAGCAGTGCAATTTTTTGCAATCACAGTGCAATTTTCTGTAATCACAGTGCATTTTTTTGTAATCACAGTGCAATTTTGTGTAATCACAGTGCAAAAATCTGTAACAAACTGATCTGATTGGTGGAAAAACATTGTGATGATTAAATCAACCAATCAGTTTAGGTGAAAATATTTTTCCGGACTCAAACATTTTTGCAGGACAAAGAGAAATAGGGTCAAAATATTTTTCGGACTAAGATCAATTCAATTAGGTTTAAAACACATTTTCCCCGAAAAAACTTCTTAAAACACGATGAAAAAGCTTATTTTCGAAATTTCAGGGAACACCCTTACACTATACCTCCGATAGGTCCTGTAATTTTCCCTAATGAAAAGTCTCTGCACGAATTTTTTTTTCAGACATTTCTGGTGCACGAATTTTTTTTCTTTCTATTTTCCCTGCTCGAATTTTATTTTTGTTTC